TTTTGCACTATTAGCCATCGGGTTTGTTGCAATGGAAGCCAGAGGAGCAAATCTCAAGAAACTCAAATAGCCCTGCATTTGGGTTTTGTAGCAATCCCAGCAGCATCTCGAGTCAGTGGCTCTGCAGGAGGAAGCACTGACTGGTGAGGCGCCTGTGAACGCCCTTCTCTTGTTCATGTGCCGTGTTTGCCAACACACAAATGGCCATTACCCTCGAGGGCAGGAGTGTGTGAGGTTGAGTGAAAAATAGTCTGCGTGCCAGGTTTAGCTTTAGGTGTGCAGTTCAGGGAGCAGCTGTCCCTGTGCCTCAAGGTTTCCTTCTCATGGGATTTCTACTGACTCTCGAGGCATTTGCTCTCTCCATCCAGTGGTGTCTCTAATGAAGTTTTTCCTGTTCAGGGGCATCATTGTGCCAAGTTACCATGCACTGAAGTTCAGTGACACCAGAAGGATGCAGCCTCCTGGATGCCTGCTGTAAAATCTTCCTGTGCCAATTTGTGTCTGTCTCACCGGTGCCTGTGCCACAAGGAAGAACATTGAAGCTTTCAGTAGAAGCAGCCTTTTCTGCTTTAGCAAGGCTGGTCACAGCAGGTTCAGAGAAGCACAAAAGAGCCTGAGGAGGGAGGGAGTAGGGCCACTTCCTTTAGCAGCAAGCAGCCATCTCCTTGGTTTTGTCATCAGCAGATACTTTGGCAAGAGGCGTTTATGAGTAATTCTTCCATCTCACTTTGACTTTGGTCTCTAGTATAGGAGGAGCCTCTGTGCCAGTCACAGTCACCATAGGAAACCTGTTCCTTGTGTAGAGGTGAGGCAGGGGAGCCTTGCTGTCAGTGCCCTGGTAGTTTGGATCAAGTTCAGTATGTGATGGCAGGAGAGACTGGGGACACCCCTCTTGTCTTAACTGGCAGCCCCCAGTAAATCAGCGTAGCAGTGCTGTTACTCAGCTCCCTAAGGGTTGTGCTTCCCAGGTTTGTCAAAAACTTGGACTGTGTCTTCTGGCTTTGTGGTTCCTTCCTCTGCTCTCATGGGGGGGGAGTGTGTTTTACTCCTGATCAAATTAACACTAAAACTCCTCAAGCTGCTGGGTTGTTCAGGTTCCAGAACAGATTCACAGATCATCTTTTAGGTGGTGCTTTCACTGGGAAACAGGTGATACACTACCAACTAACTTCTTGTAACTCATTTCTTCACTGTCTTTACTGACTTTTACAAATATCTTAAACTGGGGCTGAGAACTCTGCCTAACAGCTTAAATGAGGTCTGGTGGAACTTCAGATTATGGAATTGTGAACCAACCACTCTCCTGTCAATGAAGGATTAAGTACAATCATGTTTATTTAGATTTTTCTCTTAGAAAGGAAAATGTTCATGCTCTCTTCTGTACAATTGCATATTGCCTATTCAAGGTTAATGTCTCCCAATCTTTAATAAGTTCAGCCTTGCAGTTGTGCTGTCAGACAGGAAAGTACTTCCTCAATACTCATAGGAGGAAAGTTGTGAGACACAAAAACAACCCCTGAGATCCTTGAAGAAATCTAGACGTCAACTTCACTGCCATTTCAAATCAGAGGTGACGCTTCCTGCTTCAGTTCTAAGTGACCTGCTCCTTGGTCTGTAAGAAACCTGTTCCAGAGCAGCAAAATAAACAGAAATCCCCTAAATCCATGTGTAGTCTGCTGTTAGATCATTTTTCCTTGCAGTTAGCATTGATACTGTGAATTAATTTTCTCACTTCCTGATCAGGGGGAATTCTGACTTCTGTGTTTTCATGGTCTTCTTGGATGTGCCACCAAAGGGCAGCTCCTTTTCTAGCTGTGTGCCAGTATTCTCTTGAGCTGTGAGGGTTAAAACAGTGTTTAGTCTTAAATTTTATACCCCAGCACACAAGAGCCTGCATGGCTTCCTACAGAAACACAGTAACAGGAAACTACTGTTTGGAAGCTGTTGGTGGCATGGAGCTGTATCAGTTTCCCAGCTCGCCCACTGCTAGCATCTGTCCTTTTGTCTCTTTGCCCTTTCCAGCAGCTTTACACAGCCAAATTCTGCCATCCCTTTCATTTTAAGTATTGATGAGGGGTTTATGTAGTTGCTTCCTGAAAACTAAAGGCTGTGAGGTACAAAGTTACTCCTTTTAGTTAAAGACCTAAAAGATAGTCTATAAAAAAACGTGTTGGGAAACTTTTATTGACAGGGTGCTGAGAGTGATTGTCCTGTGTTCTTCTGGGTGGAAAGCAAGATACCAGAGCTGTCTCTCCTGTTGTGCAATTGCATTTTCTGTCCTGTCTCACAGCTCAGGGTTTGTGGGCTGGTGGTCACCTCAGATTCCTGAAGCCATCATTCAATAGCTCCCCAGTGTCTTCTGTGCTGGGCTCAAGGGCTGTGGCAGAGTGGGGAGGAAGGTGTTGAGCAGAACAGTTTTGGGGAATTATGTAACTGCCATGAGAAGTAAGGGGACCATAGCCTATCCTGAAGGGAGTGGATGAAGGCTCAAAAAAAAAGAAAATGAGGGGTGGGCTTCAGGTTACAGCAGTTTTTGAGCTGGGAGGCAGGTTACAGCTCTCACCTCATTGGCATTCTGTGTTCTGCAGCAGGGAGGGCTGGCCAGCTGTGCAGTACCTGCTGCTGGGGCTTTGCTGCTCTGCTCTCATGTCTGATAGGTGCAAGTAAATCTTACCTCTCCATTCATGAAATAGGCACAGAAATCTGAGGAAGGCATCAAACTATAGTGTTTTGTGTTTATGAGCCTTCACTAACAAACCCTCAAGGTCATACGAGATCCTTGTGAGGACATGCAGAATCTTGCATTTCAACAAGTAGTCTTAAGACTAGCAACAGTGTTTTGTAAAGTTAATCTTCCTGGGGCTTTTTGGGTAATCCCAGGTATCCCTGAATAGTGGAGAGCAGATGTCACCAGAGGGCTCTCCTGGCCCACACCTTGGTGGCCTGGCCCTGGCCGAGGGGGAAGCCGATACCTGCACAGCTCCCTGGAGGGCTTTGGGAGAGCTGCAGGGCAGAAGTGACACTTCCTCACCAGCCCTCTATTTGAGTAGAATCACAGAATAAGCTGGGTTGGAAGGAACCCACAAGGATCATTGAGTGCAATCCCTGGCCCTTGACAGGACACTCCAACAATCCCACTCTGGGCTGAGAGCATTGTTCAAACACTCCTTGAACTCTCTCAGGCTTGTACTGTGATCAAATCCCTGGGGAGACTATGCAGTGTCCCAGTATCCTCTGGGTGAAGAACCTTTTCCCAGAAACCACCCTAACCCTACCCTGGCACAGCTCCAGTTGCTCCCTCCAGTAGTTCAGCCCTGTGTTCATTTGAGCAGGCAGTCACTATTTCAGTGTTAGAAATCTCTGCTGTTGATCAGGCAGGTGAATCCTCTGTGTGAGTGCCACATGGAGCATGAACGGTATGGAATTTTAAAAGGATGCATTCAGGGAGGTCACCAGTGATCTTGATATGCCCTGTTTGAGCTAAGTGCAAATGGGATATTCTCATGAAGTGTGCAGAAGTGAACAGAACCAATTGCATTAGTTCTTGTTGTTCCATATGCATTGGTGTCAGGCTATTGGTATGCCATGTTCCATACGTTTTGGTATTTCTCAATGAACAGGAAGTTATAATTCAGGCGCAGGGTGTGTAAAAAGTCAAAGCATTTGAAATGTGGAAAGGACAGTACCTGGTGCAGCCTTGGGAAAGGCCCTGTGGTTCCCCCTTAGGCTGTGGTTGTGGGAATGGCTTCACCCAGCCTGACCTGCAGCCACTCCCACGCAGTCCATAGTGCTGGGACAGGACCAAAGAAGCACAGATCCAAACACGAGTGCTCAGCCCATCTCTCTGCTGCAGACTGCCTCATTCTGAGTATTTCTAGAGACTGGCCCTGACCACAGCTCTCCACAGCACGTGGTAGCAATTCAGAGTATTAGTTCCTATTTCTGCTCTTGGCAAACATGCTGGACTGGAAAGAGCAAGGGGGTAAAAGCAGAAGGTGCAGTGCAGGGCAGTTTTGACTGTGGTCTTTGGAAGGAAACAGCCCACATGCTTTGCTTTGACAATTTGTGCAGTCCGTAGTTCTAGGAGGGTTTTTTTCTAATTTATTCTTGATGAAAGCTTTGAAATCTTGAATTTGCCATTGTGCTCAAAAGGAAGAAAATGCCTGTCTGCACCTGCTCTGAAACACAGTAACTGGGAACTGATTTATGTAAACTTTCAGCAGCTTTTTTTTTTTTTAATTTCACTTAAGGATGCCTTAACACCAAATATATTTGCTGGGGATTACACCCACTGGTTACTTCTAAATTGCCTTAGCTCTAGATCCAAGATTAGTATATTTAATTTTGGTGTACCAAATGTTATTTAAAAGTCTGCTGTGATAATTATGCTCTTATTCTAGCTTGAGATTTTAAGATTGTGTATTTTCTTGTGATTTAATATTTCCATTGGTTTTTAAAGGAAAAGCTTGAAAATAAAAATCCTTGGCCTTCTGGTAAAAACAAAAGCAAGGGTGAAACCTGTTGGCAGGCAGGAATGGAATCATAGATTTGACTTTCTCCATGAAGCAGCAGCAAAAATACTCTGGATCTTTTCTAATGTTAATCTGGGAAAATATCCTGGACTCAGTTTCAAGGACCATATTTAACAAAGCATTTAAACCCAGTGTTTCACCTGACCTATGCAGAAATGTCCTAAACTTGTCTTATATTACCTGGAGTGAGTTGCAGCCCTGTCTGCCTCTGGACAATCTGGGATGGATGTTCTGTGCTTTGCTGAGCCAACAGCACATTGCTGCAGTGGGTAACCAACCCTTGGGGTTGGAACAGGATGGGGCTCTGGCAGTGTGTGACAGCTGGGATTGCTGCTGGGATGTGGCATGTGGTCCTGCACAGCAAGTGCCACACGAAAAGACTTAAACTTGTTTTTTGTTTTTGGTTTTTTTTTTTTATTCCTTGCTCTGTGTGCCCCAGGAAAGCACTCAACAGGCCAGCCCCTGGCCTGGTGAGAAGCACAGCCTGGGTGTGGTGAGTGAGGACCTGGCTCTTGTCTCTGGCTGCTGTGATACCTCTTTGCTCCCAAGTCATCTCTGTGTTGTCCCAGCAAAGTCCTAAAGCGCCTCTTTCTGACAGGGCCTGGGAACTTATTAATGTTTGCTTTGCTTTTTAGGCAGTCACAAAGTACTGCTAAGGTAAAAGCAGGAGCTAATTTCAAGCAAACACAGCTGCATGTTTGCATTGGTGTGGCAGTCATTCCTGTGCTTGTGGTCTTTCCTCTTGCTTTGTTTCCTCCATTAAAACTGCTGGATGGAACCTTACAGCTGCATCACCACCAGCTGCTGTGCAGCTTCTGATGAGACTTCTTCAGATATAATGGGAAGTAATGGAGCTTTTGCTCTGGCTTCAGAGGTGTTTGCAGTGCCCCAGAAGACCCTGTGGTTTCCTTCCTGCTTTCACTGCTGGAACCTGCTTCTCCTATTTACTGCCTGAGATAGTTCTATATTTCTCTCCTATTAAGCTAAGGAGTGTCCTTTAAAAAAATCAAACCAGATTATAGCTATTTCTTTGCTGCTTGAGAGGGAGAAGTACTGAGGGAGCAGCAGTGCTCTTAACTACTCTCCCTCACAGCTATGCTTCAGTAGAGCTGTTGTGTGGAAACCAAACCCTCAGGAAAGGTCCATATTTATTTTGTAGGTAAAGTTTTCTGCCTTAGATTACTGAGGTAATCCCCACTTTGTTGGCATCTTCTCCTTAGGCTGGTTTAGTTGCAACACAAAGCCTTGCTTTCTGGGAAGTCTTCACAGGTATGTGGCAGTGCTGGGGTGTCCCCATATTCCTGTTTAACTGGTAGAGAGCCCTTTGGTACATGCTAAGGAGCTGCTTGGGACAAGCTCTTGACAAGTTTAAGCAAATAATAAAACATGGGATGGGATGCTATCAATAAACTCTTGGAAAAACCTTTGCGTTCAAGTAAATGATGACATGGCACTTAGGATCAGTTGTCTTCCTTCTTTAAAGAATTGGACAGGTACCTTTTGGAAACTGATGTTACCACAAAGGGAAGGGAAATAAATATATGAGTCATTCAGTAAGTCAGTAACCCTCACCACCTAATTTCTTTTATAACCAGTTTTGTTTGCACTAGGTAGTGAAGAACAGCTCACCAATTGGTAATCCAACATTCAAATCCAAGTTTCACCTTTACAGGAAGAAAAAAAACCACTTCTGTATTGAAACATTGCAAAGTACTCTGTATGAGGCAGAATCTGCAGGGTTTGGGAGTCAGGGGCAAGGGCTCTGATTCCAGCTGGTTCCAACCAGCTCCAAATTAGAAAAACTCAGCCCATTGCACACCAAAACTGCAGCTGGTCAGAGCAGCACACTCTGCCTCTGCTTGAACATTTTTAAGAACGGCTAGAAGCTGCTAGGGACAGGATGGTGGAGTCTTGCTGTTTCTTGTATCTGTATGGACAGAAAGTGTGTGTTACCCCTTCAGAGTCCCAAGGAAAGCAGAAGGGCACCTAACCTGGAGGTGGCTACTCCCAGGGCTGCTGACCAGGTGTCTTGGTTTGAAAGACAGATGTCTGTTAAGAAAGGCAGGAGCCTCTCTTTGAAATAGAGAATGTAAATCCCCTCCTTCTAAATTATTATAATTTTGAAATTAAGGGGGCTCTTGGGCAAAGATATGGGAATAGGAATAATAGTTTTTTACTAGGAAAATTAAAATAGAAATACAGTATTACAAAGAACAAATCCAAAACACTGACAGAGCCAGAATACAACCTGACACCCCATCAGTCAGTCAGGGTGTTGGTAGCAGTCCCATTAAATGGTGGCTGCATCCTCCTGCAGTGACAGATGTGGTTCTGTTGAAGCAGTGCTCCTGTAGAAGGGTGCAGTTTTCCTCCAAATCCTTAAAATCAGAGGGTTTGTTTGTGATTCTGTGTGTAAAACCCCTGGCCAGCATTAGAAAGGTCTGGTTTTTCCACTGGAATCCAGTGGAAAAAGGCTGCTCTGATGTTCCAAATCTCAGATTTTATCTAGGTAGGAAATGCTTGGCTCCTCCCCCTGGGTGGAGCATCTCACAATGGGATGATTGATAAAATTCCATCATGCAGTGGGACTCAATGGCCCATTAACAGGCGATCTCTCCTTGGAGGAAGGATGGGTCCAGTCTGGATCCAGTCTCCTGGGAAGTGACTAAAGGATGATTATTTTCTCTGTTTTGGAAAAAGATAAAGATGACTGCCCCTCCTGGTTTCAACAGATGGCCCATTAGCAGAGGATATCTCCCACAGAGATAAGGATCACTGCCCCACCTGGTTCAACAGATGGTGTTAGAATATATACTTTTGGTCACATCCTGTATTGCAACTTAATACACCAGGTGATGTGTTAGGTAGTGTAGAAACACTCCAAAGTGGCCAGTCTGAGAGGCTAAAGGTGTCTTAGAAAAGTTACAGAATAATAAGGCTTTTGTTCAATAAAGGGGGAAAGAAAATGAAGGAGGAAAAAAATTCTCAGCAGAGAGTTTTCTTCTTGTTTTCAACAGAAGAGTGATTAATCTGAAATGGAAAATTCTATTATCAAGCTGACCCATAGCTCTCTTTAGGAGGCATAGTATAGTTCTCTGTTACATTTTTCACATTTCTGGTTTGTCTGACTGAACTTCTGCTTTTACTGTTGGATTGTATTGATTTTATTTCTTTTAAATTATGCAAACTTTTACCAAAAGATAAACAGGGATTAAAGCAGAGGAGACACTAAAATGTTCTGCATCTTTCAGATAATTTTTTCATCTTTTCTTTCAAAGAATATATTCCTTGTGAAAGATTTCTGGGTTTTTAATTTTATTAAGAGCCAGGCACTTCTGAGAAAAGTGTTGCCACACTGATGACAGTGCCCTTCAATTAAACTGTGTGTTTATACAGCTTATTTCATGTCATGACTCCTGTCCTGGGGCTCATGAAGGTTAGCTGGTACATGGGTGCTGTACCTCAAGGGGGAAGCAGGGTGGGACTGGAGATGCAGAACTGGCCAGTGCAGCAGAAGAGGAGAATGGAAGGATCAGGAATGTAACCCTGGATCCAGTCTCCTGGGAAGTGACTAAAGGATCATTATTTTCTCTGTGCTGTCTGAGAGCTCTCCTGTGCCAGAAGCTCTCATGTTGGGAGCATCCAGGACGCACAGTCAGGAGTTATGCTCTGTAGGGCTCTTTTTCCTCTTGCTATTCTCCTCCTTGTTTTATCTCCCTCCTCCCAAAATGTGCAGTTTGGGAAGGCCATAGTGCAAAGTAGATTCTCGTGGGAAAGTGCAGGTACTTGTCTTAATCTGATATATGCTGGGGACTGAGCTCTGCCTAGGGCTGGTGTGTTCTCAGCAGGAGAGAAAAAGGGGAAGCAAAGCTCTCCCCATGCTCTTTTTGGATATGCCATATGTGAACATCATCCCTTTAGTCCTTCATAGGTACTTCAAGTTTATCTCTCTCAAGTGATTGTGACCATTCCCTTGTTCACTTGGCTCATGGTCTCTGGTTTTTGCATTATAACCGTTCCTGGAAATCAGATGAACAGGCAGAGTCTGGAAGAGAGAACTGCAGGGGGAAGTCACTCAGCTGCACCCTGCCATTACAGCCCAAGCTGAGATCTTGATATTTAAATTTGTGTATAATGATGAAGCCAAACAGCATCCTGTAATATGCTGGCAGAGGTATGGGAAGTATAGAGCCCTCTTCAAAATGGCATCTGTAACTAGGGGGAAAATGAAGTAGGCACATGAGTTCTGGCAAGTTAAATATGGCAACACCATGAGACTATAGAAAACACTGTTTGGAAACAATTTCCAAAAGATAGTAATGCTACCAATATTATTAATCCTTTTTTTTTTTTTTCTCCCAGTTGCAGAAGGAATATGAAGCCTGCTATAGAGGCAGAAGGTCGGTAGATTGGGAGTTCAGAGATCACTTTGAAACAACCCAGAATTAATTTCTACATCTGGCTACAGGTAAGAGGATCTTGGGGATACTGGGCTCTGCTGTTGGTGAACGGAGAAGGGCTGGTTGGAGTCTGTCTTGGGCATAGTGGTCTTTAAATGAGAGTTTTCAGTTCTTGAAGGAATATGGAATATAATCACAAAACTTCCACCTTGGACTTCCAGACTTTGGCCCGTTCAGGGCACTGGTTGAGGAAGTCCCTTGGGAAGCAGTCCTGAGAGGCAAGGGGTGCAAGAAGGATGGATGTTCTCAAAGAACAACATCTGAAAGCCACAGGAACAGGCCAGCCCAATGTGCCATAAGACAAGCAAGCAAGGAAGAAAACTGGTCTGGATGAACAGGGAGCTTTTGATTGAACTCAAGGGGGAAAAAAATGCTAGCTTTGGAAGAAGGGACAAATGGCTCAGGAGGATTACAAGGGTGTCATTAGGTTATGCAGGGAGAAAGTCAGAAAGGCTGAAGGCTCAGCTAGAATTTAGTCTGGCAAGTACCACAAGAGATCACAATTATTTTTTTTTCCAAATACATTCATAACAGAGAGCCAAGGAGACTCTCCATCCTTTGTTGCACATGAGGGAAAACATGGCCACCAAGGATCCAAGGATGAGGAAAAGGCTGAGGTACTTGATGCCTTCTTTGCTTCAGTCTTTAAATGAAAGACCAGTTATTATCAGGGTGTCAAACTCCCTGAGCTAGAAGATAGGGACAGGATAATCCCCCTGTAATCCAGGAGGAAACAGTGACCTGCTGCTCCACTTAAAATTGCACAACCTGTGGGGCCAGGTGGGATCCACTCAAAGGGACCGAGGGAGCTGCTCTCCATCATTTGCTGGCAGCCCTGGTGACCTGGAAGACTGAGGGTTAGCCAATGTGATAGCCATCTACAAGAAGGCTGAAAGGAGGATCTGGGGAGCCACAAGCCCATGAGCCTGACCTCGATGCCAGGGAAGGCTGTGGAACAGATCATACTGAGTGTGACCAACCAGGGGGGAAGGCCCAGCCAGCACACATTCACAAGAGGCAGGTCCTGCTTAATGAACCTGATCCTACAAATTTCTGACTGTCTAAGTGTAACAGCATTACTGATCATTTTCCCTTCATCTTGGGCTCCTGCTTACTGTATTCAGAGGGGCTGATCACAACATAATGATGTTGCCATGTCTGGCTATCTGATTTCTGTTTGTGGCCATTCATTAGGTACATCATTGGTATTCTCTATTGCAAATAACAGAGCCTGTAGATATTTTTTCTGGACGGCTTCAGTGAAATGCTTCTGTGGCTGCTTTACAGTGATCTGGGAATCAGCAACCATCAAAACTGCTGTATCATTTCTTCCCACAATCTGTTTATTTTTTTTGTAGAAACTTGCTAGTCTCATTCTCTGACTCTTTGTTGTGGCTTGCTTTCAATGCATCTTATCCCACAGAGTGTCTATCCAGTATTTCATTACACAAGAGAGTGTTTAT